CGGTTAAATTAGGAAATGCACACGATTTTATTGTAATTTGCGGATAAACGCGACATAAATTAACGTAGACTGCTTTTACGTTGCTGTTTTTGACAATATGCATAAATTAAGCAAAAATTAATTCAAAAGCAAATCTGCGAAAATTTGAATTTAATTTATTAGTTTCTCTGACTCTATGATATTTCGATATATAACTTCAAACATGTCACATATCAATTCTTGTTTTGTAAAGCATTGAAGCGGTCCACGTATCCAATATTCAATTTATCCTCGAAAATCTCTGACTAAAATATTTCTGGAATATCCGAAGAACCTGTAGCAGCATAGGAAGGGCATACATTACATAAATGAAATACGCAGCAAACGAGGCAACGAGAATTTTTCTTTATGGATGGTTCTTGCGGATGGTTTATTTTCAGAATCACTTTTATGGAAGAGAAACGACCACTATACAAAAGAATGAGAGATTTCGAAGACTAAAAGAAAAGATGAACAGTGATGTGAGACTCGTTTCTCGCCTTAGTTATCGCGTGATTGGCAATCATAAAATACATTTGGTGATTTTTCTCCGCACAGCTTGTGCACGCACGGCTTACGTTCAATTATTTGATGTTGTTAAATTTTATCCGCATGTAATCATAAATATATATAAATTATGTAGAAATTACACGTTCCCTCAAAATTGTAATTTTTTCTACGAAAAGTCAAAATATTCTCTTTCGATATCTCACATTTCTATATCATATCACATTTCATATATTTCCGCATTATATTATTTCTCATAATATATTCTCCTACGTGTTATCTCCATATTACACCACACTTGGCGAGCATTTGTGTTAAATGCATTCACTTGAGGTAGTCTTATCATACATGAAGAAAAACCGCGTTTGTCTAGAGTATCTCACCTCTGTATAATAATATGGACTAAGCTAACAGCTGACTCACAGTGAGTGAAGGAAGAAAAACCGATTGATCGATCGTGTCTCCTCTTCAGCGCGCGACCTCAGCTGAAGTGGCCTGATCTCGAGTAGCCGTGTGCAAAAAGCGGCTTGTAGCCACCTTCGCGACAGCAATAAATATTTACCTTGTTTTCGACTGTCGTCGGCGTCGCGATAATCGTAAGTACGAGGATCGCGCATATATAGATCGATGGCATATACACGTATATATATATATAGACATATATATAGATCGATGAATCGCGTCGCGCGCAAAACCGACTTGCCCTCGTTTGCGCGATCGAGCAATAAATATTTACGGGTGCTCCCACTCCGCTTTGCGGAATCCGCTATTGTACTTTGTAATATTCGCAACGGGGACGCGACGTAGTGATTTGGATTCATCGCGGATGTATAATATCCATACATATGTATCAAGCATCCCGCATACTCGAACGAATCGCAATGATAATGGAATTAATCGCGGGGTTACGCCTTGAACTAAAACGACTTTGCACAATTTCTCTATTGTTTACATAATATTTATATCTAGTCTCTATTATATAAATTATTACAATTCACGTATTTGTGATTTTCGGTGTATAATTTATTCCTCTAAATTAATTTGCAAATAAATATTCTGTAATAGGCGCGTCATCATTATTGATTTTAATACAATCTGATTCCTACTGATACTAAAACACATCTCATACGTAAAACTTATTTTCCACAACAAGCAGATAATTATAAATTAAATTCAATTATATTGAAAGATTAAAATACGATTAAAATGTTTACGAATGTATGAAAAGATAAGCTGTTACACAAACAAATTATTGTTTGTACGGTTACATTGAAATTGTAAATATAATTGACATAATTATATAATTATATACGTATAAAATATCTTTTATTATTTTTCCTTGCTAGATGTTAAAACTTTGTAATATATGTACAAATTGAGAAGAAGAAATGTTTATATTTTTGACTTACATATTAATATTCAACATATTTTTAGATACGTAAATTATGTTACAATTTTAATTTTTGCTTGTTTCACAAAGTACATAATAGCTGCTTCCATTCGATCCTGCGATGCTTTTTCCACGATGCAAATTAATTCAGTTTGTAACATGAAACTTCTTTTATTGCACAGCTTTTCGATATTGCATATAAAAATTAAAATAAAAAAATATTTACATTATCGTTTAAAAATGTAGAAAAGTTCAGAGAAAAATGTTAAATAAAAATTACTTATTATCATGTTCAATTTGCTAATTGTGTATTGTCATACAAATACGCATAACGAACACATTTCTCTTTCAATTTGTAGACATGTCACAAAATGTTTAAGATTGACGATACAAAGTCAAAGAAAAATAAAAAAAAAATGATTAATTAATTTGCAAAAAAAGAATAATGGAGAGGACGAGTGACTTTCTCGTGCAATGAAAATAAATATCGATTAACGATTGTGTGTAGTTACGTGCGTCCGTGTACGTCCTAAATTCTACTCCCATGTAACCCTTAATTGGGTTACTGCTAACGTCAATCACGAGGCTCGCGATATTTCATAAGATGTCAGCTGGACAGCCTCATTTATTTTGCGGATGTGTCATATTTATCTGTCTATATGTATATAAAACATGATAATATACTAATTGTCATAATAGATTAATCTCACTTGCTACAAAATGATAGATCTAGTTACAATGCATCCAATAAAACCAGCTGTTGTTTAAAAAGCCTTTATATCTTACATTACGTAATAGTTTTTCTTTCTAATTCTAAAATTTACTAAATCATTTTCTAACAATAAAATGTTAATAAAACAAAATACTTGCTTGCATTTTATAGAATAGAAGATGTGTCAATAATTCACAAAATATATCAAATTAATAAATGTACGAAAAAGCAATTAACATTATCATATTAAATATCAAATAATTTCCTATATCAACATTTAAGTAACATTAAGGAAGTATTGCTAATCGATTTTGTAAAATTATTGTGCTTAATAAATTTAAAAGATAAAAGGCATCTTAAGATAATCGGTAAAACGCGTTACTCGTAAATTCTCATTAAACAAGTTCCGGCATCAGTCGTTCACAAAGCCAGAAGTGGCGAGAGCATTGGGAGTTGTTGCATTTAATCAGCTTTATGGAAGATGTTATCCAATCGTCTCTCGCCGCCACTTCGGCGTGGATAACCGACTAAAGCAGCTCGTCGTCGTTACAGTTACTAAAGTTTGAAAACTCGCGTAACGTGTACATGCGAATAACCGTATCTGCTATCGTGAGATGCTTATTTTGCTAACCAAGCGAACATGATAGCGCAAATTCGCGAAAGGAAACTAACTGTCCTAACTGAAAGCTCAGAATTTCCGGTTTTGCTTTTATCCCTTATAGCTTCTTTAATGCTTTTCGGTCCAGCAATTTTCACTGGATTCATGCTACAAAGTGTTACCACAAGTCGCGCCTTACTCTCTTTTGGCTATGGACTCTAGCAAATTTGCGGTTCACTATCTAACGCAGCAAGATCTTTCTATCTTTATCAAAAGTTTAACGTATCTTTCAATTTCTTGAATATTTTCAGCATTAAATATTTTATTAATTATTACAAAATAAAAACTATCAATATATTAGATTTAATATGTTATATAAGTGTATTAAACCAAAATAAAATACCATTTGAATAATATATTGGATTTAATTATTATTAGATTTAATATATATCAAATGTATATTATTATTCAAATGTTATTCAAATGATATTTTATTTTAATTTAATTTATTAAACTGTGTATATTAAATTAAAATAAAATAGCATTTGAATAATAGATTTAATATATTATTCAAATCTAGGAATTAATGATAATTAGATTTAATATATTATTCAAGTCTAGGTTTTTCTCTAGCAAAATTTTAAGCTTAGTTTTTGAGTTATAATTGAAAATAGTTCGCTACTCACACACGAGTTCGGTACAACAAGCAGGGACGGTGCAACGCATCATAAGACTAATGTAACACTTGACAATGCTCTCATGATGCGTTGTGCATCCTGCCTGCCTGTTGTACCGGATTTGTTTGTGTGAGTAGCAAACTATGTTCAATTATAATTCAAAAACTAAGCTTGAAACAAAATTTTGTAAAAGGAAAAAATCTTAGAAATCAAGAATAAAATGTTTCAAGAACATCAGATTGTTTTGAATCACCCTGTATACACAGGCACATTCAAAAAAATTAAAAAAGGAATCAATACGGAAAAAGTGAGAATAAAACAATAGTATTCCACACAAATTTATAATAATTATCAATAAAGAAGTGCGACTTTGGACTTTACTTTAGTTAGTAAATGTCGGAATGGCACTCCAGAGAATAGAAAATGTTCCTAGCTCAAAAGCACATTGGCGATTGAGTTTCAACAGAGAAAAGCGTGTTATAGAGTCTATAAAGGGAACAAATGTCCAGAAGGCAAAAGGCAGAAGCGAAGGCAAAGGAAAGAAGCGATCTTACGTCCTAAGCGTTTCTCTCCATCAAATTTCTATTTTCCGTATTCTCGCTGGATCGAATCATAAACTTTTTTTCTTGCCGTGCCAGCCTGTTTCACATCACATATATCGAATCCTTTATCTCAAAATCGATATGAAATAACGCAATTTCCGCGTAATTTAACAAAATAAATGGTAGTAGAGTTAGCGTGCAACAAACTGCACCAGTTTGTTTCCCGCGCGAAAACAATAGGAAAATGTGGAATATTAATTGTTAAATTATTTGGAGATTATATAGTCGTTCTTTTATTTCGCACGTGAATAAAATCATTCTTGGGTTTTAATAAAATAAAACGCGAAATATATGTGTGTTATAAATTAATTAATTAATGTAATAAATTAATTTTTCTTTCTGCTACTCGTTAAAGAAATTTACGACTTGCAAGGCACTTATCAGAAGTTTCTTTATCACTTCAAAATCTCGCAGTACACACCACAGAAAAGTACATAAATACCACAGAAAAATTGTTAAAGAACATACCGTTGTGTAGTAAAAAATAATAACTTACCTGATTCATGTACGATCTGACGAACTCCATGCTTTGATCCAGAGCATAAGTGTCACTACTGCAGGAATCGAGAATGAGAGCACCCAGTGTTGTGTTCGGCAGCAGTTCTACATCAGCGTTAATCTCGTTTAGAACATATAGCATAGCTTCCAATCGTTGCATACCCTTCTCTTCTTTTACAGCCCCGCATGGTGATTGACCAATGGAGCTTGCGACCTAAACAAATAAATGTGCATGCAATGTACCCGTTGTATAAAACTTTTTTTTTAAATTGCCTGGCTTTTATTCGTATCGATAAAATATTCCACAGTGTAATATATATCGCACATACACGTATAATGTAAATAATATCTTTTAACAAAAAATTTCAATTTAAAATAAAAAAGAATATTTTATGATTCAAACTTCACAATAATTTTCCACGATTTACAATTAACCGACACATAATTTTATTTTATTTTTTACTCTATTTCACGCATTACGCTTGAACAAGCGTGAGCAAGCTAAACATATCAATAGAATCCAAAGTTTACAACCGAAACAATACAGCTGCGGTATTTCAGGGACGATAGCACAAAGGCTGAGGTAGATGTTCAATTTCGACGGATTAATGTCGTACTTTTCCCCAGAGCTATTCGTTCGTACAATGTCTGGATACAATGGCGCAGCATGTACAGCCACGACTTGCGAGTCATGGGACCAAAAGGATCAAATTACAGGAAACTTCGACCCCTTGTCGTATCCTCGAGTCCTATGGTCGGATGCACCGCTTGAAGCTGTTGACGTTCGAGTTCAAGGAGTATGAGGGAAAGTTGCGGATATCCACAATATTGTAAAAACTCGCGCGTCGCTTCATCGACCGTGGAGAAATCACGTCACAACTTGAAAAATGCATAGTCCGGCCAAACACGCTCGTAAATTCCGGCAACAGCGCAATCCAACCGCTGATTTTAATGTTTGTGAAATCAGCTGGGAACACTGAACCATTCGTTCTCGGGCAAGCTTTTCCAAAATGAAGCTTTTAATTCCAACAACCCGGAATCTGTTTTGGTCAAAGCAAGGTTACATAGGAGCAGACGAAACTCCAACTACATATTTGTCCTATATAGTGAAATATACATTATGTACGAATACATGCAATATTTTGTATTTTATTTCCGACTATGAATCGTAATGATTATTACAAAATTTTGGCCCACTATAATATACAAATGTACAATAATATAAATTGTATAAACCGAGCAATATCAAAATAAGCATATAAATATTTGCTAAATAATAAAAAATAATCAATATCGTGTTTCAGTAAATTAAAAAAATAGCGTACATTTGTATTATATTATTTTTGCAGCGATTATAAGAAACTTTATGTTTGGAAATCTTAATGTTTCAAAAAAATGTCAAGTATATGAAAGAAAGGAGATACCTACAAAATGTATAAAATTTGACGTGGGATAAAGCTATCGCTTCGTCTGTTCGACAATTACATACTGATTCCGCAGTCACATATCTCTTCTGTTTATATTACTTCGTAATTTCCTTCACCCGCAGGGTTAAAACTTCTGTCACAGAATCAAAACATGACATCACGCATTCCAGCTTAATTATTTCGCTTAAACTTTATTATTGATCAAAATTCCAATGTTTAGTGCAATGCGCGAACCAAGTAACAAAAAGAGGAAGAGAGAAAAAGAATAAAAATCGAAACAACAATTTATCTATGAACAATTTTCTCTATGTTTTCTCACACAAGCAGTTTATTAATATTATTAAACTACTGTCCGTATATTTTCACGAGTTTCTATTATAATAAAATATGATATATAAGTTAATTGTCAAATATATTAAAAAAATGAAGATTTTGTACAGACTTTTGACGAACCATCTTTGTTCTTCGAAAGCAAAAAGCGGTTGTCACCGAAAGAATTGTGACATTGTTTCTTCGAAAATTTATCCGAAAAAACTAATCACTCCGAATTCGGGTCGCTCGTTGCTCGAGAACGGCTATATCGAGCGACAAGTACAACTGGTGAGAAGGAAAGTTATCCGTTGGTAGAAGTTCGGTGAACGGCGTTTATTTTGCACGAACTAGTTGCGCGACAACAATAAATCAGCTCAAAGTTTTCGATATTATTCCACCTATAGTGGGAAGAGGTAACATTTCACAGACATGTTTATCTCACACTTTGTGCAGCGATCGAACTTATTGTTAGTCGTGTGCTCGAGAAAAATGCGCGAGAAGAAGGCAAGCGAGATTGGAGAAAAATAAATGGAACATTAGCGAAGAGTTTTCAAGATAAAGGGAAATATGCAAAAATATGTGCTTACGTTAAAATTTATACTAAGAGTATTACTTCCTTTTGAAAGTTTCAAAGAGTTTTCAATTGATTCGTTTCGTGATTAAATATTGTATATATTTTAAAAAGAATTAATTAGCGAGATATTTTGTAATAAAAATTAAGAGATATTGTGGAATTAAATTAAAAAAATAAATATAATAAAATACTTTTGAGAGAGTAAAAAGCAATATTTAAATGTAAATAAATATTTAAAAAAGATATTTAGTAAATCACAAACAACATGTTGCTGTACAAATCATACAGTGCATCGTTGAGCAGTCTGTTATTTTTTTATTATTTAAATAAATATTAGATTTTTTTAGTATGCCAGGCAATATTCACGATGTTACGTAGAGCTTTGCGCAAAAGTTCGCGAAAATTAATTTTTAACGGAAAAAAGTTCAAGCATTCTTGGTGCTGAAATTAAACTTTTGTAATTTTTGAAAACCTGTATTTATACAATATTTTTCTATTCTTCTCTTTTTTTAGTATATATTTTCTTAATGGAATATCTTGTAGCAATAAAGAAGACTTATCTACACACGGTTATATCACAGATAAGGTTTCTGTGTTTTACTATATTCCATCTGTACCGCGCATGATGTGACGTCAAAGGCGCCACGGTTGTTACGTCAAACTTTTGCATGTGTTGCGTAACATATAAAAGTAGGCAATTTTAGAGAGTTACCTTACTTTCCGCACGTAATAAAGTATTTCTCGCAAAATAGCGAATCGTCGATGTTACATATGGTACGAAGTTCGTTTATGCCATCTGAATAAATAAAAACGCGAGGGAAAACGAGGTCACATGACCTAATAACAATATATTGGTCCCACCGCTCTCCTTCTATTTTTCGTTTCACGAAAATGTGTTTTTTCGAAAAGATGTGCGTTTTATATCCGACCGTGTAATAAATAACAAAGGTTTAAGCGGACAAAAAGCAATTTTAATTAAGAACGCAGATGTTGATATATCATTCCTTCTTGCAATTGTAAAACAGCAGAATGAGAAAATGGAATACAATGGATAATACTCGCTAATTACAAGCCCGACTAATTGCTTATAAAAACTTGTGTCATTTATCTTACAATATGTGACATGGAGGACGAAAAAGTAATTTTTAACAAATAAACGCGTGAGTACGTGTCTCTTTGTCAGTTGCAAATTGATACATTTTTTCATTTTGCTTACATCTCTTCGTTGATTGCAAAAAGCTTTAGTTGTTAATTAATATTAACGCTTCACACAAATAAAACGAATAGGTATATTTATATTTTCGCCACCGACGACGAATTCTTATTCCGAATATACATTATTTTCAAATGAACGGACGGAAAAGACGAGAGCGTGATTTCCGCGAGGCAATTTGAGACGAAAGAGAGCGTAGAATAAGATAAAAGTGCAGTTTCGCGGATACAAGTGCAACGTACAGTAAAGCTGGGATGTATGCATATTGACCCGCTCTGGGCGAGTTCCAGCACAAGAGAGGCTTCGTACTAATTTAATCTCTATGCACAAAAAAAAATAAAATAAAGTCGTTAGATGTATAATTTTGTCCATAAAAAGTTTGATAATTGCCATTTTAATCAATTTATTGCAGGAACGAAACGTAAATTATTATAGATAGCATCGATTAAGTAATTAAAAGTACGTATGCGCGAATTAATGGTGGTACAAGCAGCAACCTTTCCACACATTACAATCAAAATGCAATTTCGATAGTGATAGATTACATTAACACATTATATTACCATATTATGTTTTATATAATGTTACATTTGCTAGATATATAAATTGCGTAACAGAATATACTATACACTATATAGCACGTATCAGAAATCACGTGTTCTTATAACACGTTTATTGTTCATATAACATTTAGTGAGGATAGAATATAAAAGCCCTTTTCTCTCATTCTCTCAATCTTAAGCTTATTTTAATGGGAGTTTTATTTATATTTTTATTATTAAAACATTTAAAGATGTTAAAAATAAAAATAGTGCATTCAACGAAAGTATTAAATCTAAACTATCGCTGACAAATATTTCGGTTTAAAAGTTATCGAAAAACCTGTGGCTAACACGAAGTATGCCACTACTGATACATTCTGTGTAGAAAAGCTAAAGAAGCTTACCTGCTCGTGCATTGGAAAGATCCCGCCGAGGATGATGTCACCACCGATGCGTATCAACTTCGAGCCGTCCTCGCCTCTATTCTTTACGTTGTAACACTCGCTCGTGATCAGGAAGCACCACATCCACGGCAGAATCTTGCGCAAGCTCATCTTGGCCATGGAAGCTGAAGTATTTCAGTATCTCGCTGAAATGTGAAATAAATTCGTATGTTATTTCGCGAACATTTTACCAACATGAAAAATTACTTGCGTGCATGAATATTTTTCACTCTTTCATAATGTGATAACGTATTCAAATTTACTGTAATATTGCACAATTAATCATATTAAAATAACGCGAAAATATTGAAAACACTGAGACACATATTGATTTAATATCTCCAAAAGAAAATTGCAGTCCATTTTTCTACAGAAAATAATATTGATACACGTTTCAGTAATTTATTTCAATTAATCAGAATAAATTAACTGTACAACGTAAATATGAGTAACTGTTTGCGATAAATATACATCTTTTTTATGAAATAATTTATTATAGCAGTATTGCAGCGCAACATTGGTGCTTTGAAACGACTTGTAAGGGGATGCTTTGAATCGAAACTTTCAATAACCGATAAGCAGCGTCATATATAATTCTTTGCTTGTTCGCTGAAAATATAGATTTATGGAGGAAACGGATTGCACGTGTGCAAAATGTTTACAGAAACATAAATACATCAAATATTATATTTTTCTATGCCTGTCTATTTTGAAATCTCTTTTACTGGAGTCATAACTTGTCAATCTATGTAATGCTTTCTTTTCGACAATAAATTTTCGTTCATGTCATGTTAAAACTTCGAACATGTCGAAAGGCCGAATCTTTTTAGTCCGTCACGATAAATTCTATTTTTCGCGAAAAGTGATTGAAACGTTGGAGCTACTGCTTTAGAAAATAAGATTTACAGTATGTTTTCTTCAATCAAAATTATTAATGCAGAATTGCATCGCACATTTTCAGCATAAAGCCAGACGTAATCTTTCTTTTCTTAATCCAATCCAGTTTGACTTAGGATATTATTGTCGCACGAGAGTCAAAGTACTTGAGTCCCTGCTTTTAATTACTTTGCTGCCCGTCGGCGTAATACGGCCTTACGTTTTTACCATCCAACTTTTTTATCGCGATTGCCGCGAAAGTTGGATTCTTATCATTAAGTTCTTATTCTCTCCAAGTAATTATTTTCAAGTCAATCGTCATAATGTATCGCACATCAATGAACAAAGAATCTATTATTAATACTATCTTTAGTACATCTTTTAATCCTTTCATTTGTCCATCTCGAGACAATTCAAGCTTTTATATACTACGAGTTTATGTAAACACATTATTCTTTTTCAAAGAAATGTTGCTGATTGCGTGCCCAGTTGTGCGTCTGCAATTTAATTCGCGAGGATGCAAATAAGAAGGAAGAAAAACACTTGCGATGAAATGACTTCGTTAAATAAATTTCATTTTCGCTCACGTTTTTACGACGTGTTTCGGTTTTCTAATGTTTTCTACTTTACTTTCTGCAAAAGCCATTCAAGGCCATTCAAGGTTATAATTTCGCAATTTAATTCAAGTCTTGCAATTAATTCAAGACTTTTGCCGGGAGAAAACTCACCATGAATTCTCTACATTTAAAGTCTAAATAATGACAATGATTAGAAGGTAATCTACAGAAATATCGAGCAGACGAGCAGATAATTACTTAATTCTTCCTAATTAGATTCACTCTTACACAAAGCTCTTCTTATCATGTATAACATGCGAACAATTATAAAATTTTAAAATAAAAGAATAGAGAATAATTTGTGATCTTATTTAAACTATTAATTTACGAAAACTAAATACTTGGCAATAAGTATTATTAAAGTATAAAAAAACCTTGAATTTTTTATTATTTTCTATAATAAATATAAAATATTTTTTTTTACATATAGAATATTTGCGAATTTTTAAAATAAAATATAAATACAATCAATTAAAAAACCGTCACTAAATTTCAAGAAAAACAAACAGTAAATATTATGTATAACATAACGTAAACATAACGTAAACACTTTTTTTCACATTTTATCGTCAGTTGTCGATACTTCATTTTATAGAGCCATACGAAAGAGATATAAAATTTGCGCTTTGTATGTAGTGATAAATTTTTATGTACCAAGCTACTAAAACGTTATTGCTTTAAATATAATACGTATGAATTTTAATCGATAATACATCCATTTTGCAGCGCGCAATGTAATCTACAGAATATCAGTCTAAGTTTGTCATATAGTTGATAATTAAAATGATGTCTACAATGGTTTGTTTTTCAGTTTGTAATATATTTACAGAGTTCATTCGATACTTGTTATCGTTCTATCGGAATCAGAATGGAGATTAATATTCGTTTTAACAGGCTGGCAGACAACGATCGAAAAATATCGTATACAATTTCATATGCAATCTCGTATGTAATCTTATATATCGAAATATCAAAAGAAGCATCATTATCTGTTACCAACAAAATTTTTTATATAATTTTTTATCAATAAATATAATGATAATAAATACAATTTCGAAATTATCAAAGTAATAAAATATAATGATAATTGGGATCGAGAGCCAATGCCGGATGTTCTTTGCAGTTTATTCTTTTTCCAAATTTTCTTTATTGAAGAGCAGTATACGTTTCGGCCACTATCGGGCCATCTTCAAAAGCTAAAATTCGACGGTTATAATTACAAATACATTCTCGGTAGTGTAAATTAATTCCTTGTAACATATCTGGTATTTTAAAAAGAATCCATTAAAACAGACTAAATCGCATGTTGTGTGTGTTAGGTGAACACTACTGTGTGATAAAAGATACTCGAATTAGAAAAGAAAGAAACTGGTCACGAGAAACACATTGAAAAACAAAAACAAAAAATAAGAATAAAGATAATAAAATAATGAAAAAGAATAAAAAATATCTAAGATGTTAATTACTTGTGTAACGTGTTAGCAATTGATGTCTAGTGAAGTCAGAGAGGCTAACTGCGTGAGGTCGAAACGGGTAAAACGTACGGTACAGAAAGAAACTAAACGTTATTGTGGAAGGATAAATTTAGGAAGGAGGATTAGAACGATAACGATTTTATGATAGGTAAATTTTATGATAGGCTTCGGACAAAAGGTCCGTGTCGCTCTGTTTATTTATGGCCGATTTTTGCCGTTTAATATGAATCATCTCTGATGTAAGTCTTTTCCAACAAGAGTTCTCCCTATCCATTATCTCCACATTTTCCCAATCAAAGCTGTGATCAAAATCAATGCGGTGCAACGATATCACGATATCAAAGTAATAAAAACTTTATAATGTTAAAGTAAAACTAAAAATTTGCATTATATTTAAAGAAGATAAATCTCAATCTCTTTAATGTTGACGATAGATGTTGTATGACAAATTAGATTAATTAATAATACTCAAATAAATAATTTGAACACAAATTTATTATGAGAAATAATTATGTTCGTAAGTATTGTTTCCAGTGCATAAAATATTGTTTTTATTATTAATATTTGTCCAAGACTGTTATATCTTGTTTTGTTTTATTGATGTTGCTAGTTTACAATCACCCATATACCGTCAACAAATGTTCTAGTGAGTAATTGCTTTTTGTATAAATAAATGGTTCATTTTGTGATGATTAAACAGCTTCATTGAAATTACAATATGTCAATTACAGCAGTATGGGTATGCCAATTGCGTGTGAATTATATATCATGCCTTTAACGAGAAAGGTGAATGTTACATTTTACGCAGAATACAATAAAATAAACGTTTCAATTATTTGTAATTTCGATATTAAATTATAATTTACTATCAGTCAATTAGAAATACAAGCTTGTTCTTATATTTATCAGGGAAATAATTGTAAATAAAATTTTAGAAACTGCTTCCTTCAGGATATCATAAAAGCCAAAAAAACCTACCAAATTTACGAGACAATACAAATAATAGAAACACATATTTTCTCTGTTGTAAAAAATTAATTTTTATATCTGTTGCAAACATGAGTTTTTTAACGCAGAAAATTTCATCAAGAAGAATAATGCTTATAAGATTAACTCAATTCTTTTTTAACTTTTCACGGTGTTATCCCACCGGATCACATTCATGGGTACATGCAGCACGCTAAACACTCAACGCCTCAACTGAGATTGAACGGCATTGTATCGAACATGCCAGAATTCAGCGATGCGTTCCATAGCCGCAAGAAGAGTCCCATGAATGCAGAACATCGATGCGACCTGTGGCGGTGATTGCCATGCGAATAATCGCATAATTCCATTGAAGTACGGTCTTTTATTGGAATTTTTGGATCTCTTAGTTTTATCAAATATAATTAACAAAATAAAATGACATTCTCCTCCATCATTATTCTGCCCTAAAAATAATCGCAATAATTTCTTTCCGTTACAGTTTTATTTTAAAAAGATGGATATAGCACTGCATTCCACAAAGAAAGAAAAAAAGAAGAAACACAAAGATGGATTCAAAAAGAATTCTCGACTTTCCTTTAAACTTTCCTTTAAATTGAAAGAAAAGAGAATACAGAAAAAAGATTAACTAATTAGAATTTCTGTTCTGTTATATAGTTTTTATTTTAACAATATATATAATTTTTTTTATGTTATTGTTTTCTATAAGAAAAACCATTCGTAATGACAAAGAAAAACTGAAATTATTGTTTGACATTTTAGAATGACGTCACAATAATTTAATATGTTATGGCATCTTAAAGAAATGGAATATATATGTATATCCGTATTATATTCACATGTAAGAGATGCTTCAATGCTACTATTTCTACTGCTTTTATAATAATGCGTCTGTCGCGTGTAATTCAGTGGAAAAAGAAGCTTTTCGCCGACAATGGCGCTTTAGAAATGGCGTGTTTCAGGTCTTTGATTTGATCTGCGAGTACCTGCCGAAAAGTACCCTCAAAAAGTGTTGCGAAAGGTAGCCTCTCAACTAGATATCATTTTACTCGGACGGAAGAGCTAGCTCGAAATAATGTGCCAGGCTATCTTTAGAAGTCAGGCGGGAAAGTGAATTCCGCCACTCGATAAAAGGGCGTAACGCAAAAGAATACAAACAAGTTTGAATAAAAAGTGATCGATTGCACACCG